TGGTCATCTCAGTACCTTCGGGTGTCGTGCTCAAGAACTATGGTTCAAAGTTGAGCCACTTGCCCAGTGTCCCACGGACAGGACAGCCAATGCATCTCAACATTCGAAACATGGCAACACAAGGAGTGCCAAGGTGCAGATGTGTAGACAAGGAAGCATGTGACCCGAATGCGCCGTGCAAACAACGGCGATGTTCAGCGATGCTTGAGCTGCTGCAGGGCCATTCTCCTCCTAGGTTTTGCATGACCAAGAACTGTGGAGTAACTTTCAAGCAAAACCACGAATACTAGACCCACCACCACTACAACCACAACCATCACCACCGCCACCACCACCACCACCACTACTACTGCAACTACTACTCCTACCCCTGCCAACACGACGACGACTACTACCACTACTACTGCTACTACTACCATTACTGCTACTACTACTACTACTACTACTGCTGCTACTACTACTACTACTACTACTACTACTGCTACTACTCCTTCGACTACTACTACTGCTGGTACTACTACTACTACTACTACTACTACTACTACTACTACTACTGCCACGACCGCCACAGCCACAATGACAACCACAACCAAGACCAAGACCACGAGAACCCGCGTCCACGACTACTACTCCCTTAGAAACGCCTTGACAACAAAAAACCGATCAACATATTCATACTCATGGCTACTGACATCCTGCCCCCACACCTATGCCTACACCTACGCCTGCCCTTACTACGATACTCCAACTCCTACACCTCCTACTACTACTACAACTACTACTACTACTACTACTAGTACTACTACTACTACTGCTGCTGCTGCTGCTGCTACTACTAGAGTTACTACAGCTATTGCCACTGCCGCAAAGGTGGCAGCACTGGTGCTGATAAGGGCAGTTAGGAACCCTGTCACTGATATCAAACAAACACTACTCATCTAAGTACATCCGAGTCTAAAGCCTTTTTACGGGTACGTGCCAGCAACCCTTTACCTCAAACCTTTCATCCCGAACGTCCTCGAGCCAGGAGTAGTCTGAATCTTCGACTCCCAGGGATGGCTTCTTGGGTGGAAGGCCCTCCATTCCACGACACCTGAGAACCATTTTCTGGGTTCCTCTGCTCCCTAAACCCTAAACCCTAAACCCTAAACCCTAAACCCTAGGATCTTTTAGGGCTTCGACACTAAAGGATTCGGGGTTCAAGGTTTAACGGCCGTGGACGTCTCTCGAACGGAGAATCACCTTCCCATATTCGACCATGGTACCTGAACACAAGCCACTCGCTTGGAGCAAAGGCTTGAGCCAAATGCTGCTCTACCATGTCTGAGCTGAGGCCACCAAGTGCCAAATCCCAAAGTTGCATGTCTGCATGTGACGGCAAGCGTTCCAGGACCGGCATTTGTCACAGCCGCCGCGACTGGGGCTATTTTTTCAGGTCGCTGCAGGCCCCTGATTTGCAAAGACGCCTCCCTGTCCGTGGATGATGCTGGGGATCACAATTTCTTGCCTCTTTAACGGAAGAGCCATAAGTGGTCAGAGGTCTACAGTCATCCTGGCTGCTTGCTCCGAGGCCCACGTCTATACAATTTTCTGCGCTTGGATACCCAAGACCTCGCGACTGAAGCCGCAAGGGCATAGCTTCCAGAAAAGGCTCCGCTGAGCCTCTGGGGATGTAAACGGAAACAAGCAGAACTTTTACAGCAGGCGTTCTTCGCCAAATCGTCTTCAAACCGCGGCCTTGAAACAGTGGCAGCTACGCCCAACATTGTGTTGTATGATATATGCAGTACAAATATTGTCTTCTATACTATGTACATTTATATTATATGTTGACAAGCATAACTAACAGCTGTTGGCTGTCTGTTGTCGATGCATGAATAAGGACTTGCCCATTGGACACTGCCGTCAGCCACGTGCATCTTCAAAAATGCTAATATAGGGGCCTTAATACTTCGAAAAGGGTTTTGGGGTATGTTATAATAGAATTATAATAAGGAACCTTCAACAAGATATGGATAATTATTAGGGCTCCTCTATTCGATGCCGGATTCCGAGCTGCATTCTTGCTGGCCTCGTCGACACATCTTGTCCTCCAATGATACACATCTGCCCACAAACTGGACAAGCCCAAACACCGGGCGCGCACAAATCAGCTCAGCCTCGGCTCAGCGAATTAAACACAAAGGCTCAAGGAGTTTAATTCTGCACGATAGAAGGACTTCGATTCTCGCTGGGGTTGATGTCAAAGGGGGTCGCAGTCAAGGTCTCGGCATCTTCGGTGTGCTCATTCACGAGTTCGTTCCTGAGGTGCGTGGATACAACGACAGAGAAGCCGCTGTCGCTACAGCTAGCTGTACAGCTTTTATAGCAAGCTCCCCTCCGCCCTCCATACCCATCGGAATCAAATGCCCACTGACCAGTACTAGGACTAATTTACTACTGCTACTACGCTGCTGCTGCTGCTACTGCTGCTACTACTACTACCACTACTACTATTACCACCACCACTACCTGTCCCATAAGATGCCATAAGGGCATGCGTGTGTGTGTGTGTGTGTGCGTGCCCCATCGGGTGCAACTGCGAGCGTGAATGCCTGTCTCATGGAGTGCACATGGGGTCATCTGTGAGTGTGTACTGGGCTTCGGATGGATGAAGGGAATGCGCCACGAGCACCACCAACAGCACAACCTCCACAATCATTAGCGCCGCCACCACTCCCACCACCCCAATCACCACCACCACCACCGCCATCGCCACCACAACCAGCACCAGCACCAACATCACCAACGCGTCGCCCCGCCCCCCCACACCATGCCACCTCCGCCCCCGGCTCCCACCTACCAACCAACCAACCAACCAACCAACCAAGCAAGCAAGCAAGCAACCAACCAACCAACCCACCCAACAACCAACAACCAACAGCCAACAGCCAACAATCAACAACAACGACCAACCAACGAACCCACCGACCAACAAACAAACCAACCAACCGACCAACAACTGACCAACAACCGACGACGACGACGACGACGACTACTACTACTACTGCTACTACTGTTGCTGCTGCTGCTGCTGCTGCTGCTGCTACTACTACTACTACTACTACTACTACTACTACTACTACTACTACTACTACTTGTTACCACTACAACTGCTACTGCTGCTACATGCTGCTACTGCTGCAACAACTATTTACAGCAGCAACAACAACAACAACCGCAACAAGCACAGCAACCACACCAACAGCAGCAACAACAGCAACAACAATAACACCAAGACCAACATCGACAACAACAACACCAGCAGCAGCAGCAACAGCAGCAACAACAATAACACCACCAACCCCAACCCCAACCCCAACCCCAACACCAACACCAACACCAACACCAACACCAACACCAACACCAACACCAACACCAACACCAACACCGCCACCACCACCACCACCACCACCACCACCACCACCACCAACAACAACAACAACAAC